GTAGGCGAGGTGTACGGTCCGGCATATTAGATAGTGCCCAGGGTACGTTTCGGTATACCGGACTGTACCCAGGGTACGTTTCGGCAGTACCCTAGCTGGGGTCATAGACATAGACCCTCTCAGCCCTAGTAGCGCTGAAGGGGTACATCGTTGTCGTATATGTAGTACCCGAGGTGTCGGCGAGTATGTCGCCTATACGCCTACTCCCTAACCCTAACCCTAACCCTAACACCCTAACCATATCAGATAGGTATAGTTACCCCGGGTACACCATTATACGACAACGACCCTTTGTGCCCTAGTACTAGTAGCTTAGGCAACTCGATAATAATATTATTATTAACAGCTAGGTATAGCTCCGTGCCTGTTGCGGAACGATGTTGCCAAAATATTAATGTTTCTCTACTCTATTTCGCCTATTATTGCCGATAACTTCCTGTAAATGCCGTTCAAATGCTCCTCTGCAACACACGCGAGCACACCGCACGCACGCCGCTGTGCACAAACAACAAGAATAAAGAGAATCTTATAATATATATATAAAGATACTCTTTATTCTTGTTGTGCCTGTGCTTACAGGAGTAGAGCTACAGCCTGCATAAACAGGGAGAATGTTTGGGGAGAGAGAATAGGAAAAGCAAGAAAGTCAGGATGGCAGAGATAAAAGCTAGAGAAAGAAAGAGGGGATCGAGAAGGATTATGGAGAAGGTAAAGGAATGAAGAAATTCAAGACTGGGGAAAACGTGGAGAAGGAATGGGTGAAAGAAGCGCTCTAGAAAAGGTAGAATAAGAAAAGGGGCCAATCCTAGTGCAGATGTAGAGAAGGGAGGAAGGGGAGACGAGCTATGGAGAAGGTAGAAGGAGGAGAGAGTAGGGTTGATAAGGTGGGCCTTTTATCCCCTTCCTCCTTCTTCCGTCTGCCACCTACTCTACTCCATCTTCTCTTCACTTCACCATCTTTCCTATCCCTTTCTCTTTTCTCCATTCATATCTGCCTTCTCTACATCGGCCCTGAATTTTCTATCTGTTATTGTACTGTGCTGTACGTAGTACGTACCACAGATCTGTTAATTGGGGTGATACTCCATTAGGAGTGTTCCCAACTTTAATGTCATTAATGGTCATAATAACATATATATATAATAATTGATAACATTTGTTCATTATGCGAAGCTAATAGCTCTAACCTGATTACACCTGCTGGAAGGTTACTTCCATTAATTCTCACATTTATGCACGCTGCCCCTAGAAAAGCGTCAAGCAGGAAGTTCCACCACATAAGCAGTATCTCGAACTTCTATGGCATTACTCTGCCCAACGCCACTCACCTTCTGTCATATGCATTGGAAACTAGATAGGCCCATTAATGTATAAAACACAAATTAAGGTCGATGTAGATCGTATACGGAATATAATGAATATAATATTCGGAATATAATATTCGGAATAGAATATTCGTTACGGAATATAATGACAGATAATTAATCTGTCATTATTCACCCCTGATCGTAGCAAGAGCTATGATGAGAGCTGGGCCAGAATGTGTGCGATAATTAATTAATGAGAAGGATTTATGAAGAGGATGGTGAGTGTGGGGAGCTGGAAAAATAGGGCGAATAAGAAGCTGCAGATTCATGATAGCAGCTAGGAACGAATAATGACAAATTTACCTCTGAATATAGAAAGTGGAGGAGGGTGGAGGCTGAGGGTATAATATCGGTGACTGGTTGTGTGCGGCATGGTCTAGTACGTAGGTCATTTATAGGGCAAAACTAGACTGGCACTGCCGCTTCACTTGCATCGCGCTGG